GAAAGTTTATAGTTTGTAGTTATTTCGTGCCAAGTGTCAAAACAGTTTTTTAAAAAACGTTATATCGGANGTGTTGCCGGTGCGATAAAAATGTTTTTATCCGTTTTCTGAATTTATTTTTTATCATAAATTTATTATAAATTAAGTTTATAGTTAAATTAAGTTTATAGTATAAATTAAGTTTATAGTTTATGAACTCTATTTTCTAGATATACTTTATTTTTTAGATAGTGAAACCAAAAATTTGGCCACGCACAATTTTAAATCTATATGGTACATCAAATCTACGTGATTACAAACCATGATCACAACAATAATTTTATTNTTGATTGTTTCCATAATCCTATATGATTTGTACGTACATCAGAAAAGAAGTGGGCGACTTATTGATAATATACCAGGTTTACCACATGTTCCAATTTTCGGTTCGGCATTTTTAGCTCGAAATTCACAAGGTACGTACCTATAATGTGTTTCTTTTTATATACTTTTCGTTAAAAAAAACCAAAAATAACCAAACATGTTTACATGTTACACTTTTACCAGAATATATTTTAGAACATTTTTTAGAAGATATGTGGCATCTTCTTCGGTTTTACTCCAACATTAAATATCCTATTTTTAAATTTTGGATGGGTCCTAAATTTGTTGTAGTCATTCGTCATACAGACGACCTGCAGGTACTAAAATACATAAAAAAGTATATAATTCTCCGCAAACGTACACTGATAATCTATAGTGACTATATACTATATATAAGGAATTGTTATCATCTATTGTTTGAAAAACATAAATTTATTCAAAGTTGGAAACATAAATGATATGAAATGAGATATTTTATAAAATAATTACCTATGGTGAAATTAAATATCAGGATACTTGTGTGATAATTTCACCGTCATTTCTCTTACAATTTCAGAAAGTCTTAAGCAGTACAAAACATATCAAAAAAAGTATACTATACGATTTTTTACGTCCGTGGCTCAACGACGGTATTCTTATGAGCATAGGTAATATAACAACATATAATTATAGTTTTTAGTAAATTTGTAATTAAGAGTATATTTTATTGCGTTATTAAAACAACAACGAATTGCTTATAAACATTTACACCTATCTACATAAGATATATAGTA